AATGATGTGGAAGTCCCTCCTGTGCCTCAGTGTTGTAGAAGCTATATAGTTATGTTTATTCATTTATGAGTCCTATTTTTCAGATTGGCAGCTGTAATTGCTTTGAACCATAGGTCTAAAGACCTAAACAAAACATCTGCCATTAGTACAACTGATGAAGTTTCCATATCATAATGAAATTCTGGAGATCACCTTTTGCAGTGAATGGTGGAAGACAAGTTATGCATGAACCTAGACAGTTCCCATAATTCATGTTAATGGAAAATGAAGAATGAGTGGTTTGTTGGGGCCTTCAACTGGGGGAAAAAAATAAAAATAAATAAATCAATAAATAGAAAAGAGGCTTTGAGAAAAGAAAGGAAATTCACAATTTATTTTTGTGGAGAAAAAACATGTTTCCAAGTCCCTGATGCTACATTTCTATCCATAGCTTCCAGGTGGTCATATATCACATATTATTTTTGCTATATGGCATTTTAACGCTGAGAGCGTGTGAAACCCTCCCTTTACAGAGCAACACATATGCTTAGATTGTAAAATATCTTCAAAAGCTGAGGTTGAGGATTAGACTACTAAGCACCCAGAGAGGACCTCAACAGAAGGAGAGGTGTCAGTTCACCCTGCACTTTTCCCGACTCTCAACTTCTGCCAGTCCATCTCACTTCCATGGGTGATAATTAGTCCTTCTCTTGCTGCCAAGCAAAAGAAGTATGAAGTGCATATTTCTCTTCCAACACATTAACTGAGGAGGGATATTCACGAGTTTGTCCTTCAGGATGAAGAAAAGTCAACTGAAGAAGTGGATCCATATTTCATTTTTTTCGGTAAGAAAAGCAAAAGCCAGTTCCTTTCCTTTTTCTCTCCTTTCACACGCTGCAGTTCACCATTTCCTTACTGCACTGATATAATTGTTCACAGGGTTGTGCCCAACATAGTCAGGTAGCTGAGACAGAGGAAGGGAAAAACAAACAACAAACAACAAACACACTTTTGGGCCTATTTGTAGCTATTTTTTATTTATAGAGAAGGACCAAGATGCTACAATTCAGACAGATCACATGGAAATGGCTATTGAACTGTGAGAGCAAGGAGAGGAAAACTTAAGGTATGTGTATAAATTATCATTAGTCAGGTTGGTGGCAATTGCTGTCCTTCTTGGATAAGCAGTCTGGCCTAAGAGGGGGGTGGCATATATTAACATACATCAGAAAGAAATAGTCTATATACCTGTAGCTCTAAGATGAAAATATGATGTGTTTTAATTTATTAAACATTATACTTCCCTGGCTGAGGCACTGAAAAAAAAAAGTCAGAGGAATTAATTAGGAAGTGACAGATCTTAGAAAATAAAAAATGTTTCTTTAAAGAAGAAGTGAAATTTGTTAATGAAGTGTTAACCTCTGCTGGCACTTTCATAAAACAAGGCACATCAGGCAGAAAAACACCAAGCTGCAGGGTGGGGTGGAGAGCAGCTGCAAGCAAAGCTGCAGAGGCTGAGAGCCTCTTGAAACTAAGGTGGGAGCCAATTAAGAACAGACCAAATGAAACTAAACTAAAAAACAAAAGGAAAAAACACCCCAACTAGCAGTGGCTAGACCGTTATTTTTAATGGAAAAAAGCTTCATTACATCAAACTATAATTTTAGTCAACCCAAACCTTCTGTTCATTCAGAGTGGACTTGGCTGCATAGAGGCCTAAGTTGTCTCCAGTTCACTTTGCCTGAAAATTGAATCTCTGTGTGCAGGATGTGAGGTCTTGAGGGAGCAGGATCTCCTGTTGTTTTTGCCTTTTTGTACCTGGGTAACAGTACTCCTAGTTATTGTGTAGGATCTCTTGACAATGGAAATATCTAAATAAAAAATAATCATAATAGAGACTATGATTGCCTCAGTCAGAGGTTTCCTAGCAAGGTGGTTGATGCACCAGGCCTGTCAGTGTGCAAGAGACATTTGGACAATGCCCTCAATAACACGCTTTGACTTTTGGTTAGGCTTCTTTGTAATCCCACTTGTTTCTTAGTACCAATCATAACAAAGTATTTCTCTTATTGTAGTTTCCATCCTGGAAATCAGGGTTTAATATTTCAGCTGCTTTTAATTTGACCACACTGAAACTTGGCTTTACTATTTACTAAGACAAATACATTTCCCAAGGAATCAAGTGAGTTGTGCTTTTTGAAGTACAATAAAAATAGCAAACCTCCGTTGATTTCAGTTATGTTTTCCAAGGTGCTACATCCAACACAGCTTGGTTTTGAGAAAATAGAAATGTACAGGAAAAATGTGCAGGTCCTTGCCTATTCTGGATAACTACCAGCTAACACACCAATGGTGTAGATGGCCTCCAAACCCAAAGAAAGATGATGGAGATTAGCAAGGACTTTTACTGCCATATGTCTTGCCAGTGAAGGAAAAACAGCACTTTTAATGTCAAGTAGAATGTCCCTGGTTAAATCAGCCTGAGAAAGGCAAAAGGATGGAGGCTCTCCAGTTTGAAGCAGTGGGAATTTTTGAAGACTTTAATGACAGGAAAGAGTTTGGGCTTTGAAGAGAATTGAAGCAGATATTTGGGGACAGGAGGAAAAAGATGTAGTCACAAAAGAGTCTGTGGATTTGTTATGAATCCATCTTGCTATAATGGATTATTTGGTGGGTTACTTTAAAATTAGCCTGAAAAAATATTTAGTGCTTTGTTGAGGATCATGGTCTTGCTTTGGAGATAATTGCTTTACAGTAATATTGACAGCCTCTTTCTTGGTGTGTCACATGTCATTAGGAAAATAAGGTAGTGTTCAGGAGCGATAAGAGTACTGACATTTGACCTAATAAGGTCAGTGGGACTATTTTCTAAGCTACACCCAGTCCTCAATTGAAATTTGGAAATTCATAGTACCAAAACACTTTGGAAGAGCTAGGCTTTCTCTGTTGTTGCATGATGCAAAAGATTTCATGCAAATTTTACATGTGTCTGCCAAACAGACTGAACACTAACCATTCCTCACATATTACCTTCAAATCCAAATGTGTAATAATTTTTGGTGGTTTATGCTCAAGTGCCATTTTTGAAAGTCACTAACGTCTCACGGGATAGAAGAATCTCAGAAAGATACCTGAAAACAATAAAAAAAATCATAATTCTGTGTGGAGCAGAGTGCATTTAAGTTTGAAAATGGAGCAATCGTCTTTGCCTGTTGTTTCCAAATTGTGTCCACACAAGCAATTATTCTGTATTTATAATCAGAGCTACCAGTAGTATTATGAAAAATATGAACGCTTTGCTACTGGGAGAAACACAAAAGAACACTCCAAATGTTGAATAGATGTTTGAGGCTTGGAAGGGAATTCCCTCATTAAAAATGGGATATTAGTAGCTAGTAATTATTTATTATCACAGTACTACTAAAGACAACAGTTAGGTCCATCTCTATCAGTTCAGATTTTGCTTGCCTAACCTGCCCATAACATAACTCTCCAAGATATGCAGCAACCTCTAGGGCCCCTCTGTTCCCCAGATGACAAAAGACTTCCCAGTTCCAAGACTGAAAATGCGTAACTCTTAATTGAAGCCTGTTAATCTTTTCATTGTTCCAGAGGATATGAAAAAAGGATTTTCTCTTATTTCTTTGCATATATTCTCTAGATGTAGAAGACTTCATTAAATAAGTGAAATATGTATCTGATGCCAAAAAAAGCATTTATCTTTGAGGCACATTTGCCAGCCCAGGGAACCTGACGGGTAGCAATACTCCAGCCTCCCCCAAGCAGCTTCATAATTCCCTGAGCAGAATATCAAATGCAGCTGTATTCAGGAGGTGCCACCTGACTAGCTGAAAATAATCTTAGGATACATTTGACCACCACTATGTCACATGTGTGTGTAGTTGCCTAATGTTATTTGTGTATATTACTCACTGGTGATAGTTCATCTAATGTGAAACATTTCTTAATAACAGAAATTGTTCTGGGCCAGGACATATTTTTCTCTTCCAATGTCTTCCTACGCTAGCTGACTTCTGCAGCTCAGCTGGATTGCTTCAGAAACAGATCTCTTTTGGAGGACTGACAAACACTTTTGCCAAAATTAATTCTGCAGAATTGGTATCTTTAAATGTTGGAAAACCAGTCTGGGAAAGGGCTTTTGAGTTTTGCCTCTCTGAGGACTGCTGACATTCACACATTATGTAGGGATATGTTGCCTATGTCTATTTTGTTCTGCCAATAGAGGTGTGTTCATTGAGTTATTGGGACACTAAGGAGATTTTAACATTCTTGGTGACTCTGTCACTGATAGTACCCACAGTGATTTTCAGTGTTGCCTTGGTGCCCCAAAAGAGGCAGTTAGCCTTGAGTTGCATTAGCTCACGGCTGATAAGGACAATTGCAAGGAAGTAGATCTTGGTATAAAATTCCCATCGGATAGCAGAAGGTCCAGTCAGCCACTCTGGATAATGAGTAGGTATCATATGAAGTACTGCAAACATATGAGGTATTGGGTCAAAGGGACAGTTTTACCTGCTGGCTTTTGTGGGAATTTTGGCTTAAGCCACCCATTACATACTTGGCACATTTGTTCACCCAGGAAGATTTGAACAATATATTTTTTCCAGTGTAACTTAGAGGCAGCTTTAGATGTGTCTACAGTAAAATGATTTGACAAGTTAGAGTTTTTACCAATGAAAACATGCTTAGGGGAAAAGTCTAAATTTTGAGTGTAGGAACCTAAATCTTTCAGTGGTAGTTTCAGTGGATTCAGTGAGGCTAGCATTTGTTTACAATAATTTTCTCAGGGCCACACAGTAAGACTGTGGCAGGGACATGGGCCAAATGTAGGTCTGCTGAGCCCATGGAGTCCAGTGTCTTAACCACAGATTTTTGCTTGATTTTTAATAGATATTTCTGTGACCGTTAGTGCTATTGTGATACTAGCTTATTTATTTGTTTATTTATATCTGATTACCTTGCCCTTGCTGGAGCCTTAAGAGAAGAAGAGATTCCATGGGTTTTAAAATGAGTCTGACTTTTCTTTTATTGAAAAAATATAAGCCTCTCACAAAGCCAAAATATTGCGAATGCTCAGTTGTACATCAAAGAAATTGCAAGTAAAACACTCTCATGCAACACTTGAAATAAATGATAGATGGCAGTGGACTGGTGCCCAGCTCAGGACAGAACCCACTGATCCTGGGACTAGAGAAGAACAGGCATTGCAGGGCACCCAAAACCCCTCCAGGGCTCTGTTCTCATGTATCTGCTGTGATGGGAGATGTTGTTACAGCAAGGCTGAACTTCTGTGATGTTTCCTGCAATGCTGCTCTCTGAGCAGGAAAAAAATGCCAGCAGCCCCCATGCATGTGAAGTGGGAGGCAGCATCAAACTCTTCTCTGACCTGTCTGTAGCCATTATCATTTATCAATCATTTATCATTTTTTATCAAACATGAGCTGGAGAGAGTGAAATTCTGGTTTCCATAGAACAAAATAAGCTGTTGCTGTTGATTTCAGTAAGTTCGAGATTTTGTTCACATCTTCAGTCAGTATTTCTTTGTAAGAAGGTTTTCAACATATGGAGAAATATTTACAGCCAGGTTCAGCTTATGTACAGCACATGACGCAGCAGAACATTTGGTTTATAATCAGAAATACACATTTTGTGGTGTAGAAAATCATCAGTGTATTCGTAAGACATAAAACACATTATGCAGTAAATGTTAAAGTAGACATAAAATTCTTGGTGCGTATAAAAACAAAAGGATAATTCAATTAGAGCTGAGTTTTCATTTATATCAGACATAAGTAGACCATTCCTCAGATTTGCCAACACAGAAAGTCTTGCTACATTTTCAAGCCTCTTCAGTTTCATGAACCATGCATTTCAAGCATAATCCAATAAATCTTGATTGCAGAAAACTTTCCTGTCACACAGTGATATTTTATCTAGCTAAAAAAAATAAAAAAAAAGTATAATCCAGAAAGCTTTTCATATACACAGGGAATCATTTAAAATATATCCAGATTTTATTTTATATGTTTTGACTTCTGAAGGTCTATTACTGATATACAAAGATTGTGTGTGCCAAGAATAAAATATATGTATAATGTTCCTTTGTCCTGAGTGCCTTCATTTCTTCTGCTGAAGTGCTTTGTTAGTAACTGATGCACCTTCCTGCACTGAAGAATTTTAGTACTTGTGTAATATAGTACCAATGGACTTTATGGATGAGAAACAGAGACCTTGGTTTACAATATTCTTATAGAAAGAGCAATTGTTACCACGTAACTCCTGTAGCTAGGAGGGGAAAATGCTCTGATTCTTTTATGGCATCTTCCCAAACCTGACAAGTCATGACAAACAGTTCATCGTGTGTGTGGTAGTGGCTGTGTATGTGATGGCACATCTGGAGGGACCTGCTATCCTTCCACATCCTTACTAACTCTGATTTCCAAGGGATCTTTTGTCAGGGAAAAAATGTACATCAGAGGAATAAAATGAAAAATCCTTGCACTCCTTCCCTTTGAAAGTGAAGGCCGCACTTTGGATCATTCCTACTTGTGTGTGTGTGTGCTGGACATACTCGTACTATAATTCTTGTGAATGCTCTGAATTGCTGCCCGTTCAAAGCTAGTCTGCCAGAGGCACCTCCCTCCTTGTTGGAGAGCCAATTGTGAGCATGGTGGCAAAGTCCTTGGGAGTTAAATACTTGCTATACATCCAAAGACAATGACAGAGCTTGTAAAATAAAATAATAATAAAAAGCCTTGTAGTACAATATAATTCAAAAAGCAAAATATTTTCTTCAGCTATTTTCTCTTTGTTTATTGTGGGCCTGAACTCAATAGATCTGCCCACACAATCCAAAAGAAGCAGAATGTGGGTTCTGACCATAAAGCAAAATTCATTATAGGAAGATAGCCTATAGCTATTGTAAACAACAATTTGTTATTTGTAAACAACATATTTTCCCCGTGGAAGCCTACGCTGGCAATGCAACTTCTAAACCCAGAGATATGGCCACTTTCTTCACAGGTCGTATTTCACAGATTGGACAAACTGCACAGAACTTGCTCAGGTCCTTCTCAGAAGGGACGTTAATCATGGTGGTATTCATAAAGGGCTTACATATTAAAATCACACACATGCTGGGAGAAGTTCATCCCCTTGCAGTGGGATTGTGGGAAGAGCTGTACATCTCCCTCCACACCAGCCACATGTCAGGACCTCCTATCAGTGCTACATCCTGGTGATCAGCCCAGTGCCTCTCACAGGGTTTTCCATGGGGTCAGCATGGACACGGGAAGGCCTTTTTTGTTCTTTTTATTTTGATTGTCCATAAGCCGTTGTTTGCTAAACCTTTAATGTAAAACAACTGGTTGTCTCTTTATAAATACAACACTGAAAAATATATATTAATAGTCTTGTAACTTATGAATTCTTGTGTAGGATATAAACATGGCATAGAGATCAAGTATTTCACTACTGAAAACCACAGAAATGTAAAATTAGTGTCTTGTTACATTAAGAAGTCTGTATGTAGCACAATAGTGATGATTAAGATCTTTCATGTTAAATATGAAGGTGACAGTGTATTTCTCTGTGTTTTCAATGTCTGCTAAATATTTAACCTCTAAAACCAAAACCGATGAAAGCCTGTCCTGAGATACACTGCTGACGTCGGTGAGAATTTCTTCTGTGTTACACAGGGTACAGTGAAATAAGAGGTTTTCTGTGTCAGGTAAGTGTCTGATCTTAGGTTAGTCTTCTCCACGACAGAAGGGTCATATGCTGGTGACATTAATGAGGTTACCTGTTGGACAGCAGACATACGGCTGGGAAAGAGATCATTTCTGCTTGTCTCCTGACTAGCCCCTGTCATGAGCTCAGTGTTGTTTTAACAAGCGTGGCCAGCATTTCTTGGCCCAGTCATCCCCATCATCAACCAGCCTGGTGCTGGAGCGGGCAGATGGCTCACCCCAGTTGCCTGTGCTCAGTACATGGTCCCTGGAAAGCATGAAGGTACTTGGTGGCAATGTACCTTCTGGGCCCCACAGTGTCTGCCATTCATCACGTATGGTTCTTGCATTCTGGGGCCACTAAGGGGTCATATTCTACATGAACAGAGGTTCTTATATACATCCATATATTCATATATCACATATACCCATATATATAATATATATGTATGTATGCTGCCTATAATTTCCAGATGTTTGCTTTTTTATTGCGCCTTTTTTTCTAATGTTCAGCATCTCAAGAGCTGTTATATGTTGCTTTTTCAGGTTATGTGATTACATTCTGTTAAAAAGATAAAGTTGATTTTATTGTGGTTCTAAAGATACTTGATCTATGTGTTCAGAATTTTAGCCCTAATTTAGTTTTAAATCTGCACTTTCAATTTCTATAATTTCACTTTTTTTTTTTTTTTTTTTTTTTTTAATTAAACAAACAAGCAAACAATATTGGACAAGCACCTGAAAGCTATGACTTGGTTTGGATTACAATGCACACTTTCCAGTCTGTCAGTCTGGATCAACAGCAAGTCAACATAAAGTGCAAACATTACAGGCAAAATGTTCCTCCTGAAAATTTGTAGGATGCACAGATTGGAGAGTTAACACTTCTTGTACTGATGGAGAGAAATGCAGATGAGGGAACACATTTATGCAAACTAAGATCAGCACTTGGAAAAGGAGGGGTTGCATCTAGTCACACTGCTGCCCATCACACAAAGTAACCTCCAGCAGTCACTTCTCAAAGTTGCTTTTACTTGCAATGACAGGAAAGAAATAGGATTCTTAAAGTCAGTGTAGAGATCTGATACCCTTTAGACTCAATATTGTTTTTTTTTCTTTTAAAGATAGGTTTGTGAGATCTTAAAACTGGATTGGGAAGAAAATCTCAGCATAAAAGGAGAGTTAAGCACCTTCCTGCCCCAACAAGAGCACAGTGCCCACCTCTGCTGTAATGAAATCATGGAAAATACATCTTGACAGGATATTGGCAGGTCATCCCTCTGCCAAAGCAGGATGATCGAGGCCTAAATCATCCCTAACACTATCTGTGCCTATCTATGCTTCACGACAGTCATATCCAATACCCCAGTTAGTCATCTTGCTGTGATGCTTTCTTTTTCTGCATCGGTGTGACATGCTCAGTAATGACAACCTCCTCACCACTTAATTTTACTGGATAAAAGAGCTGTCCAGAGAGGAATGGAACTAAGAGGAACATAGTGGTCTATGTTGGAGACTCTGAGAAATACTTTTTTTTTTTTCCTCAGTGATTCTCTGAGTGCTCAATAAAGGGGTGCTTAAATATAGATTTGTGAATCATCTGGAAGTATCTGCAAAATACTGCACAGAACGATACACAGCTCACAAAAACAATAATTTAAACCTTACAAGTGCCATAATTGCCACAGATGCCAAAGAATGGGAGTTGTCAAAGCAGCATAACTCTGGCACCTTCCTATGTCACAGAGTGGGCCAGGCACTTAGATTTCACTCGTTGACTAAGGAATTAATCATGCGCTTCCTCCCAAGGCTGTGCTGTGAGCTGGAGGTCTGACATTCCCTCACTGCTGCCCAACAACATTTGCAGTGGAGGATTCATGCCTGCCTTTTGCCAAGTCCTTCTGAAGGCCATTCCTCAGTCCCTCTGAAGCGGGTGCTCCTGGAACACACAAAATGGCAGAAACCCAGCTGCCCCAGGAACATAAAATTCCCAGTTTGCCATTACTGTGAGTTGCAAAAATCTCTCCCCCCCCCCCCCCCCCTTTTTTTTTTCTTCATTTGGCTTAGACTGAGTCCAAAGAGCATGTGGCTTCCATGCATGTCTCCTTGCTGCCAGAGGGCAGAGTGGGTATGCTCACACCCTGAGTAGAGTCTTGTTGGCATGGGATCAACTGCTGTTTCAATGCAAATGAGTTTTAGGTTACAAACTGCTTATATTTTTGAGCAGTAATCAAATAGCTATACATATGTAGCTTCAAAAAGATGCATCTGACTTTTAAATTCAAAGCCCTGGAAATGCAGATCCCTCCACATAGTGTTTAGAATTCGCATCTTGAAAAATATCTCAGATTTTGTTTATTAAGGTTGGCAAAGGATGGAGCTGGATTCATAAAAACAGGATAGAAATTCACCCCATTTGTGTGGTTGGTTTCATCCCAAAACAACGCTATGTTGCTGTGTTATAAACACATGAGCACTTTGTCATGGAAATACTGGCAGACTTTTAATTAAGGTTGCATTATTACTAAGAATTTTAATATAGAGAAAGTTGTCTTTTCTACCTTTGTTGCTCTATTATTTCAGCTAAAACTTATTTATTAAGTAAATCAAATAATAAAAAAAGGTTTTCTTTCAGCATCCCATGCCAAATTAAGTCTTTCCTTTGTGCTGTTTCTGTACCTAATAAAGGATACCATCCAGAATCCCTCATAGATTCAGTTGTTCAAACACAGCAACTGCATGAAGCTTTCTGCCAGAGCAACTGTTCACTAAACTGAGTTTTCATGCACTGGGTCTGGTGTTTGAGAGGAAATACTGCAGTGTTACTTAACATAAGGCTGGTTTCCTATGAAAATATACCTTGAATCCACTGATCCAAGCATTGGATCCTTTCCTTCTTTTTGATACACTGATACATTAACTATGCATTTATGCCATTCCTGTGAAATGTGTTAAAGATAGAGCTCCTTACTGCCATGACAATGTAATTATTAAGGTCAAACCAGCATTCCCAATATTATTGTCACTGGTGTATGATGCTATTTATAAAGCACAGAAGTGAAATTCACCTTATATGCACAATGACAACATTTCAAGCCATTCTTAGATGAAGAAAGGTAGCATTTCCCATTGGAAAAAGATGTTGGATTAGAAATTATTGAGTAAGTATCTTTAAAACAAAGCCTTTCCTGCAGACTCTGGGGCGATGGCAACACTAAACTCAGTATGCATTTTACACCAAATTTTCAGTGGCTGCGAGTCATTGCCACACCACTGAAACCAAAGCTGCCAAAAAGACTGACACAACTATGTAGCATTTCCAACACCTGAAGCTAAAAACGAGATCCCCAAACCAATATCCCAAAACCAAGATTCCAAATTTGGCATTTCAGAGCACTGTACTGAACAGAATGAGGAAAAAAAAAAGACTAGTGAATGAAGAAAACAATCAGTATAATGGTAAAGCATTTCAATTTTGTACATCCACATGAACATAACAGGCTGTAAAACAACTTGTACTTAAGTGTGCATGATCATCATTAAACTCTCTGTTATGCACACTTCTTTTACAATCAGCTCATCTGTGTCTTTAGAAACAAAGAGTACTTTCTGGAGCTCTCCTGGGAAGCACAGTGTGCCTCAAAATTATTTAGAAATACAGAATTCATACAGAGACACCTTGCCTTTTTAATCCCCTACTTCCCATTGTTCACTGGTAAATGCAGAAATATCAATATGCAGAATACTGTTAAAAAAATAACTTCCTTTGCATTCCTTGAACTCTGAAGAAAAACTGAATGAATACACGGGTTTGCATTTTCCTGTAGATATTCCATGAGATAAACAAAGCAATGAATTGCAGTGTTGGTGGACAGTTACTTCTTGTTCCCCTATTCCTCTCTTGTTCTGTGGTGGCAACATCAGCAGCTCCTCACTGCTCACTGGGGAGGAAGCTTTGGTGGTGTGCAATGGCTGCGTGTGTGCCTGTTGCACAAATGGAGCACACCCCTCTCCTGCAAGGCATTGCCTCATGCCTGTGTGATGAGGATTTGGTCCTGTCTCGTAGCACTGGAATTGCACATACCCCTCATTTACTCATTCCTGGTAGGGACTGTTCCAGCGAGATGGTGTCTCATGTAGGTAGACATGTTCAGCATATCTCCACTTGAAATTTTCAATGAATAGTAAAGTTTATTGTCATAGTCTAGCTGTGTCAGTGAAAGGAAAACAGCCCAGCTGAATACTATTTAAAAATGGTTCCAAATCACTAGAAATGAATTTCTCTGTTTGTTGATGTCTATGCCAAACTGTATTATGTAAGTCATATCTAAATGATAAATAGAGTTGTTCACCACTCATCTAAATCAGCAGGGATTTTCCTGTTAATCTCAATAGAATCTGAATTAGATTATGAAGGTTCATGTCAGGATTTACCTCTGACCTCTTCCCATGGGACTCTCTAGAATGCACTTTGTGGCATGCAGACTGTCCTGCAGCCCTTCCTTGGCACAGCATGACCTGAAGGTTTAGGGACTTTGTGACCTCTAAAATTACAAATGAATTGACATTTAGTTCAAGCACTTTATTGCAGTTTTTTCTTTTCTCCTTTACTATCTGACAAGATCTGGATTAAAAACTATTCTAACCCATAATATTTTAAGTACCTTATGCAGTACTAAGGAGAAAAAATCATTATGGATGGAATTACAGAAAGCAAGTGAAGGAAAGAAAGAAATTTTACACCAGTGAAAGAAGTCCCACATGAATACAGCTGCAGTTTAAAAGATGCTATCCCAGCTTTTCCTATTCATCTGCCACTTACGGCAGCATTTTTACAGCTCCCATGTCAGGGATGGCATTTAGACATTTGAGCAAGTACCACCACTGGCGCTTTTAGCAGCCTCCTCCTCTGACCATGTCTTCCTGAGCAGGCTGGGTTTGAAGCATCATATGCAAGTGTATTAGCAGGGAAAACAAAGGAGGACTGATAACTTCACAACTTCATTGAAGCTAAAGACTCTGATTAGTACCCTGAAGATGTTAGCATTTGAAATATCCCATGCACATCTAAACAAAAGGCAAAGGTGTGGGGAGAAAGATATCTGCAGGACAGTATTTCAAAGATGCAGGAAGGAATGGCATTATATTCATGAAACATTTTATGCACAAAATTTCAGAGCATTCATATACTTGCAAAACTTCCTTGGCACTGTTTTTGCTGCTTGCAGATTATTTTTGTTTCACTTTATGTGGGAAATTCACCTATTTTATTTCTTCTGTGGGTTACAGAACTTTTGCAGTGACAGTACTGTAACTTCCAATTGCAAATCAGCTTCTCCCTGACCTGATTTCTGTCTCAGTAATCACATAGAGACTCTAATGATGCTTTGAATGTGTGATAGAAGGTGCTTATTACTCACAAAACTGTATGTTCATCTTGTTTTCCTGGTGACAGACTCACACATGAAATTGTCACCTTCAACAGTGAAGGACTCAGAACAGCAAACATTCTAAAAATAGATGTTTCCTGTGCTATGACATTAGTTTCTCATTTCTTACCTGGTGCCCCTTACTGCCATGATCATAATTTTATCAGAGAAGTAAGCATTCATTTAGCATTCATCTCAGAGTGGCTATTAAAGAAAATCATTATTTCCAAACAAATTTCACAGTTTATTCAAAATGAAAGAATTGTGCCTTAATGATGAGTTTCTGGGTAGAGTAATAGGGTGACATTTTTTTCCTATAAATATATACTCTTGAATTACCAGTATTGTTAAACAGCAATTATTTTCAGATGCCTTCAGGAGGAGTGTGAGACAGCCTAAAGACCTGGTTGGTTCCTCTGAGGTTGTCTGAGATCTTGTTATACAACTACTGTTTTACCTTCCCTTGTTTTATGCACCTGCTAATGGGACGGATATATTTTGGGGTATCCATTGAAGATCATCAATGTTTGAATACTTTGTAATTACTCTTTTTCTGTTCATCTTTTTGATTTGTCTCGCAATGTGCAAAATCTTTTAAGAAGTCACCAAGTTCCTTAAAAGGGGAAAAGTAAAGGACTCCAAGCCAGTCACATCATGTGAAAGTTGGTATTTAAGATATTGTGTTAAAGAAAAGTATTGAAAGCAAAAAGTGCTGAAAGTTTCCCATTGCTACATGCTGGTTCTTTCCTATTTGCAGTGGGCTCCCTGGCACCATTGCTTCTGCCAAATTGTCACTTCATATGGCCAGTGTCAGGAGGTGTGGGAATTATGTAGCCTGGTGGGCAAGTCCATGCTCAATAGGAATAAATGCCATTCCCACCTCTGCGTCAGACTCTCTCTAGGCCATCGCTGTCAGAGGCCAATGTGGTTTGGATATGACGTGTCCATTCACCTGGTCTTGCGTTCTCCCCCAGTGGCTTGGGCTTCTGCGCTCCCACCCTTTCCCTCTCTTTGTTCACAAGCAGGACGTGAAATGGTGTGTTTGCAGTGGCTGCTGCTGAGCTAGGCAGACGTCTCTCCGGATTTCAATGCAACAAGTTCAGAGTCATCTATGTATCTTCCATTTAGCTGTTCATTGTTGGAGTCATGATGGTACAGGTACACGGGGACCTCTGTGATTGACGTTGCAGTGTAAGAGGTAGATCGGGTGGAACAGTGTTCTCGGCGCCTTTGGCCCCACTGGGTTTTGTACTGCGTCCATTGCCTTTTCAAAGCTCCTTGAACCTGTTAAAGACATGTGTAGTTAGGGTGAGGCATGACCTAGACTCCTAAAATTGTAACAATTTTAAAATTTGCTGCAGGAAATAGGGACAAAAAAAAAAAAAAAAGGAAACAGCACCAGGTCTAATTCTATCAGGTTGTCTGCCTCTCTCCTTCCCTCTCCTCACAGCTCCAGGAGCAGAAGCAGTTGCTTGAGTCCTGGCCTTAGGTCCCTTCCTGCATACCCTTGGCAACAATTACAGTTTCTGCAATGGTCACTGCTTGTGATGAGAAGATAGGTGCTAGCTCTTCCCATAAGAGGTCAATGTGCAGACTGCTGCATGGGAGCACAGTAGGATGCTGTGGTAGAAGAGGGAAGAAGAGGAAGAGATGAATATTACAGCCCATCTGATGCTGCACCCAGATCCATGCCGTTGGAATGGCAAATGCCAAATGATCATCTTGCTTGAAGGAATTTAACCTGGAGTAAAACTGGCCATGAATGGCATAATATAAGGACACTTCAAGAGCTTACCAGGGCTAATTTTTTACAGAAAGAGCTGGCAGATTAGTACAGGTTAACTGAGATCTTGTTATGGTAACTAAAGAACACTTGCTGCACTGGCAAAAAAAAAATAGCACTGGCCATAGCCCTCTGCATACCAGAGAATTTCAGCTTTTAGACATTCATCTTCAAGGAGAAAAACATTTGATTCAACATTTACGTTCAGAGTGATGTTATACACTGCATTAGGATATGACTTAAACTGTTGAGTTCTGCCAGGGAATAAGAAGCCCTTCTCCGGTTGCACGTTCGGGTGTGCTGGCACTGGCTAGTTCCTTCCCGAAGGAAGTGCTGAGACATGAGCAGAGGGTGGGCAAACCCTGGCTCTGTTCATTCAGTTCAGCTATTCCAGCCAGCCAAATGTGAGAACAGGAGCAGTTTGCCAGAACGATGTGCTGTCAGTTACCACCCCTCTGGAGGCAGGAGGATGCAGGTGATGTGCTGAGACTTGGAAGAGTCCTGGAGCTCCCGTGCACCTGTTGTGGTGGGCACTGTGTGTCATTCCTGCTCAGGGAGTTGTCTGAGGTCCCTCCCTAGGCTCTGTGCAGAACAGCACCTTTGATTCATGTAAATGAGTCTGAACAACTTTAATATTTCCTATGTCTTCACAATCCTAATCACTCCATTAATATGTATATAGTAAAATGCTATCTACTCCCCGCCCACAGCTGCCTGCCAGAAAGCTGCTTCATGTCACATAAGGACAAGGCTTCATAAGGAATTGCTGTGAATCCGAGATGCTTACTGAGTGTACAGCGGGACTATGCAGCATGCCAAGAATGGATATTTCAATTGCTTCGGCTTTTTATTTTTAAGCCAAGGCACAAACCAAGGCACGAGAATTGATGTTATAAATCTTTACACATGTAAATAGTTGCACTGAATTTTCATGAGTAAACAAACATTGCTGGACCAGTTCTTTAAAAATAACAGAAAATTATATCAAAGACAATTTTCCAATACTAGATCTTTTTTTTTGCTATCACTTAACTCATGGCAAAGTAGTTTAGAGTTTTTATCATCTAAAGAAATACATTCCTGTTTACCTTCCTCTAACACATAAAGAAAACAAATGGTCAATGCAGATTAATTAGATATCAAGCATAGAAAAGGCATATAGTTACAAAGAACTTTAGATACCAGGGCTGTGAACAGAGCTTATTCAGGCCTTGAAATAGGTTGCCCAGGGAGGTGGTGGAGTCCCCGTCCCTGGGGTGTTCAAGGAAAGGTTGGATGTGGTGCTTAGGGACATGGTTTAGTGGGTGATGGTGGTAGTGGGACGGTTGGACCAGATGATCCTGGAAGTCTTTTCCAACCTTTATGATTCTATGATTGTTTTATCTAATATCAAGATTTAAGAAATTGGATGAACGCATGGATGTTTTATATCACACCCTTGCTAAAATGTATGAGTGAGAAAGAATTAACTGCATGAAAGAGTAATGCAGTTGTAGCACATGATAAGGAGGTTAAACCTGTACAGATTTTGTACTCTTCAAAATTGTCTTAACATTGCAGTGCTCCACATGAATATTGTGGACTGGTCATTCTAGAAGCTATAGGGAGGGACTGGCAGAAGAAATAAGAAGGATTAAGTCAATGGATTTTCCTGGTATCATAAAGGAGCTGGTTGCAGGTGGCAAACCTGTGCACTTACAGCCCTCCTGTTCTTCCCCCAGTTCCCCTTCCCCTGCACCCTGCACAGACCCCAGGATCAATGGAAAGGCTTTCATTGCTTTTGCATAGGGAGAAGAGAAACTGTGGGGGTGATGAGCTCCTGCTGAGCTCTCAAACTGCTTGCATTGAAAAGGCTCCATGGAGCAGTGAGAGCACGAGGTCAAAGCAGCTGTGTTTTTATTCTCCACTGCAGTTCTGGCCCATACCAGAGCCTGGCTGAAAATGGCTAGCAGGCTGTATGAGCTGCTGCACTTGAATAAAACAATGTGTTAATCTAGATTTCAGCCCCAGTTCCAAAGATCTCAGATGATCAGAGTTCAGTGCCAACTAAAACTGTTCATGCATGGATTTAAAATATGTAAGCAGTATTACTGAAAATCACATGCACAGCCATAATGTGTTAATGACCACAGAGTCTCCTGCCATGCTTTCCTCTGTGATTGCAGATGAAGGAAAGAGAAGCCTAGAGAAATGAGAAGTCTGATTTTCTTTTTCTCTGCTCTTCAAGACTTTAAACGTTTTCCTGTTCTCTATTACCCATTCATGCCTCTTTGGCACATGGCTGTTTTTTTTCCAAACAGACTTTCCATTTTGTTGGCCAGCCGTGCAGTCTAGAAGTAGTCTCAGGCCTGGAAATATGGTCTGGTGAGCAGACTGTTGAAGAGACCTTGTATCATCTGCACAAAACTGTTGTTATTGGACTGAGAAACTACCTTGCTGCTGGACACTGAGATTTTATATGAAAATGCATGAGAAGATCTATCATTTAAGTCCTGGGGAAGTCCACTGTTTATGTGTTCTTCCACATGTATGCAGGCATTGGTTCAATTTCTCATTAGTATTTTTACATTTCTTTCTATAGATAGGCTTATGGTAATAAAGTGAGACTGGTGATGTAGCAAGCAACAAATGCAATATAAAACACTGTCAGGTGGTACTGAGTTTAGCACTGTTTGTCCTGGCAAATTTTGTATATTTCAGCCTTGAAGTTAAATATTCCACTAAAAAAAAGGCAAATCACTGAGTATCCAGTCTCCTGTGGTATTAAAATTAATCACAGTATCACAGAATAGCTGAGGTTGTAAGAGATCTCCAGAGATCATCTGGTCCAGACCCCTGGTCAAGCAGGGTCCCCTGCAGCATATTACCCAGGATTGTGTCCAGATGGCTTTTGAATATCTCAAGGGAAGGAGATTCCACAACCTGTTCCAGTGCTCTCTATATCTGCACCTCATCTGTCTGCAGGAATAAATGGACTTGGAAGAAAGGGGTCATAATCTTTTCATTCCCTTTTCTGGCACAGCCCAACACAGCTACTCTAGTACGTGATTGCTTGATATTTATTGATAATGTGGTGATGCAAGTAGCACCAAACTGTCTGAAGCTATATGAGAGAGGTGTCAGCAGTGTTGGCTCTCTGCCCACCTTAATGGGAAATTCTAAAAAAGCTTCCCCTGAACGGTGAATAACATTTCCTATAAGAAAGTAATGCGAGGCTTTCCCAACATCTCTGTCGATGGCCATGTTAGACAGCCTGCATGTCTGCAGCAGATGCAACAACTTTGAAAATTGGAGTAGCGGTGAAAAAAACTCAGACACCACCAAGAAACAGTCAGTATGTCTGGGAAACCTAAACCGCCTGGGCTGTTTGTTCTTACTGCCTGACCCTGATGAACATTTCTGATCAGCCACTCCATCGAGGAGTCATTAATCCTCCACACAGTCTGAAGCCATTTCTTTTTTCTTCCCATTTTGGGCTCTGTCCTTTCCAGATGTGTCCCCTCAGTGATGCCTCACTGACGATCAGAAGTGGATGTTCAGATCATGGCCTTTCACAGGGAAGAGTTTTGTTGTTTGTGTGTGAGTGTATGGACCACCGTATGTGTCAAAACGGCTTTTGGAGGTGATTAGGGTTTTGGTGAATATTCACCAAAATTTGGTGTTATTCAGGATTTACATTCAGACTGTGTTATACAGACTGTGCATCATCGGTCTGTATAAGGACCACAGGCTGTTATTGCAGCTTACTAACAGGAGCTCAAACAAAGCAGAAGTCCGTAGAGTGCAGTGTTTCTGAGGTTGGATAACTGAATATCATATATGAATACGGTGTATTTACTTAATCCAAATATATGTATTATGAATTCTAAATTAAATGTAATATACTACTTAATAAACAAAGGAGACCCATGCATGTATTTTACACTGCTTCATTCCTGGAATGTGGCATTTAGTTTTCTGCTTAATACTCTATAGGTTAGTTCACATGATAGGCAAACTCCTTTGTACCCTGAAATCAGATTTTGAATTAATTGATATGCATGTCTACCATGATGTTGGCAAGCAGATGCTCCAGTTATATTTATTATTGGGTAACTTGAAGATTGTATTACTGAAGTTATAAAGGTGGATATGTTTTTCTATCATTGTGGCTTTGCTAACAGTACTTTGCAATTAGATATGTGATTAAAAATATCTAAGAAACAAACAGTCTTTAAGATATGTTATGTTTTCTGTTCATTTTCTTGTTGCTTTTCTTCATTTTAGCACTGCTACAGCTTTCAATCTAGGCACAAATCCATATGTTTTCATTAGAGTCGGAGAATTACAGAGTAATTGACCTTTCACCCTAAAGCTATAAAATATAAAGCAAGTATTTTTTGCAAAATCTGATCTGAAAAAGTTGAAGGTGACCCTGGAGGGAATGAAGGAGAAAGAAAGCAACGCTGAAGACCGGGATGTTGGGGTAACACATTGTTTGGAGGCAAGTGAGGACATACTGGAACACCGCCTGTACATAGCTCTGCAGCCATTCCTACAGGGAGACGATGTTTCAGAAATTGCCTGGCTGTTCCTTTGCTTCTTCATGCCAGTTCCTCCCTACTAGAGGGAACCAAAAGTCTTTCTGTATTTGCAGGGCACAGAGACTGGACTTTGACAGAAAGTGATGACAGTGAGGGAGGAGGAGAAAGGTGGTGGCAGCCTGCAGATTCTGGGGACAGATATTTGGTATGGAAAAAGAGTCTGCTTGACGAACCTGATCTCCTTATATGAAAAGTGACGAGCTGGGTGGACGAGGGAAAGGCTGTGGATGTGGTCTACCTTGACTTCAGCAAGGCTTTTGACACCGTCTCCCACAGCATTCTCCTCAAGAAACTGGCTGCTCTTGGCTTGGACTGGTGCACACTTCTTCGGGTTAGAAACTGGCTGGATAGCCGGGCCCAAAGAGTCGTGGTAAATGGAGTCAAGTCCAGTTGGAGGCCAGTCACTAGTGGCGTCCCCCAGGGCTCGGTGCTGGGGCCGGTCCTCTTCAACATCTTCCAATGATCTGGACGAGGGCATTGAGTGCACCCTCAGTAAGTTTGCAGATGACACCAAGTTAGGTGCGTGTGTCGATCTGCTTGAGGGTAGGAAGGCTCTGCAGGAGGATCTGGATAGGCTGCACCAATGGGCTGAGGTCAACTGCATGAAGTTTAACAAGGCCAAGTGCCGGGTCCTGCACCTGGGGCGCAATAACCCCAAGCAGAGCTACAGGCTGGGAGATGAGTGGTTGGAGAGCTGCCAGGCAGAGAAGGACCTGGGAGTGATGGGACAGTCGGCTGAATATGAGCCAGCAGTGTGCTCAGGTGGCCAAGAAGGCCAACGGCACCCTGGCTTGTATCAGAAACAGTGTGACCAGCAGGGCTAGGGAGGTGATCGTCCCCTGTACTCGGCTCTGGTGAGGCCGCACCTCGAGTACTGTGTTCAGTTTTGGGCCCCTCGCTACAAGAAGGACATCGAGGTGCTTGAGCGGGTCCAAAGAAGGGCGACGAAGCTGGTGAGGGGCCTGGAGAGCAAGTCCTATGAGGAGCGGCTGAAGGAGCTGGGCTTGTTCAGCCTAGAGAAGAGGAGGCTCAGGGTGACCTTATTGCTCTGTATAAGTACATTAAAGGAGGCTGTAGCGAGGTGGGGGTTGGCCTGTTCTCCCATGTGCCTGGTGACAGGACGAGGGGAATGGGCTAAAGTTACGCCAGGGGAGTTTTAGGTTAGATGTTAGGAAGAATTTCTTTACTGAAAGGGTTGTTAGGCACTGGAATGGGCTGCCCAGGAGGTGGTGGAGTCACCATCCTGGAAGTCTTCAAAAGACGTTTAGATGTAGAGCTTAGGGATATGGTTTAGTGGGTACTGTTAGTGTTAGGCAGAGGTTGGACTCGATGATCTTGAGGTCTCTTCCAACCTAGAGATTCTGTGATTCTGTGATTCTGTGATTCTGTGAGCGGCTGAAGGAGCTGGGCTTGTTCAGCCTGGAGAAGAGGAGGCTCAGGGCGACCTTATCGCTCTCTACAGATACCTTAAAGGAGGCTGTAGAGAGGTGGGGGTTGGCCTGTTCTCCACGTGCCTGGTGACAGGACGAGGGGAACGGACTAAAGTTGCGCAGGGAAGTTTTAGGTTAGATGTTAGGAAGAGCTTCTTTACTGAAAGGGTTGTGAGGCATTGGAACAGGCTGCCCAGGGAGGGGTGGAGTCACCATCCCTGGAAGTCTTCATCTCCAACTTTGCTTAATTGGACCCATCTCTGAAATGAAAGTGCACCTTTCTGTAACACGATCTTTAAAGCTATCAATTCATTTTAGGTTTTGGTGTCGTTAACTACTCATGTTTTACTAATTCCTTATTATGTTGCCTGAGAAGCCATGCTACAGAATTTCAGCAGGACGTTTCTACTGTTTCATTTTTCTGTACAAGCCAGCCAGAAGCAATGCATAGTGATGTCAACACGAGATGGCAGAATTTAATATTCACTGCCATCCCAAAAGTTAGCAAACCAGCTGGTAGCACCTTATCAATAAGATAACTTGCTTCAAGTCACCATCAAAACATCACTGTGGTCACATCATTTCTGGAAATTTGCTACTTGCTAATAACACACAGGGATAAACAAAAGCATAAGTATCTCTTTAGGGTGACATACTGAGTGTCAGCACCACAGATCTTGCTTTGTGTCTAATTTATCTACTCTGGATTCAAAATTAACTTTTTAAAGGACTTTAAAGCTTTTCTAAGCTAATGTGGGAGCTTATTTCAATATAGCTAAATGATCCTGGTGTAGTGAAAAAACATTTTTATTTTCAATGTTTTGGAAATGGCTTACTGCAGGAATTTAAATCATAGAATCATAGAGTGCTTTCGACTGGAAGGGACTTTAAAGGCCATCTAATTGTCATGGGCAGGGACACATCCCACTACACCAGGTTGCTCAAAGTCTCATTCAACCTGGCCTTGAACACCTCTAGGGATGGGGCATCCACAGCTTCTCTGGGCAACCTGTGCCACTGTCTCACCACCTTCAGAGTGAAGAATTTCTTCCCTATATCTAATTGAGATCTACCCTCTTTTAGTTCAAAGCCATTCTCCCTTGTGCTATCCCTACACCCCCTGACACAGAGCACCTCCCCAGCTTTCCTGTAAGCTCCCTTTAGGCACTGGAAGGCTGCTGTAAGGTCTCCTAGTAGACTTCCCCAGGCTGAACAACTCCAACTCCCTCAGCCTGTCTTCACAGCAGAGGTGCTCCAGCCCTCTGGTCAGCTTTGTGTCCCTCCTCTGGACTCATTCTGATACTTCCATGTCTTTTTGTGCTGGGGGCCCCAGAGATTAACGCAGTGCTCCAGGTGGGGTCTCACAAGAACAGATGAGGAGAATCACTTCCTTTGTCCTGCTGGCCACATTTCTTTTAATGCAGCCCAGGATACAGTTGGCTTTCTGGGCTGCAAGCGTATATTGCTGGCTCATGTTGAGCTTCTCAACAAACAAGACCCCCAGGTCCTTCTCCTCAGGGCTGCTCTCAATCCATTCTCCAGCCAGCCTGTATTTGTGCTTGGGATTGTCCCAGCCCAGGTACAGGACCTTGCACTTGGCCTTCTTCAACTTCATGAGGTTCTCACAGGCCCACCTCTCAGGCCTCTCCAGGTCCCTCTGGATGGCATGCCTTCCCTCCAGCATGTTGACCTCACCATACAGTCTGGTGTCATCAGCAAACTTGCTGAGGGTGCATTTGATCCCACTGTCCATGTCATCAACAAAGATGTTAAACAGCGCCAGCCCCAATACTGACCCCTGAAGAACACCACTCATCACTGATCTCCACCTGGGCACTGAGCCATTGATCACAACTCTTTGAGTGCGACCATCCAGCCAATTCCTTACCCACCAAGTGGTTCAAATCCATATCTCTCCAATTTAGAGACAAGAATGTCATGTGGGGCAGTGCAAAATGCTTTGTGCAAGTCCAGGCAGATGATGTCAGTTGCTCTTCCTCTACCCACTAGTCCTGTAACCCAGCACTGTAAGACCACCAGATTTGTCAGGCATGATCTGCCCTGAGTGAAGCCATGTTGGCTGTCACCAATCACCTCCTTATCTTCCACGTGCCTTAGCAGAGTTTCCAGGAGGATATACTCCATGGTCTTGCTGGGCATAGAGGTAAGACGACTGGCCTGTAGTTCCCTGGGTCTTCCTTTTTCCCTTTACAAAAATGGGGGTTATATTTCCCTTCTTCCAGTCAGTGGGAACTTCACCAGACTGCTATGACTTTGCAATTATGATGGACAATGGCTTGGCAACTACATCAGCCAGCTCCCTCAGGACCTGTGGATATATCTTGTCACCTCCCATGGACTTGAGCAGCTTTAGGTTTCTTAGCTGGTCTCAAACCTGATCTTCTCTTACAGTGGGCAACTGGCTATTGACATGTTTTAAACAAATATTTTTACATAAAACAACAACAACAAAATCAACAACTCCATAACATAGTGAAGTGAACCTAAAACCACTTGTAAGTATACAAAACATTGATTCAGCTGGAGGAGAAGGGGAGACATTTTTGACTCAACGCCTTTTTATTTCTTAATCACAACTTGAGAAACACTGACCTTAAAAAGGTCAGTGCTAATCCTCAGAGGAGGGAAGGGAGTTGGCAGCCCTGCAGGCTCCTCTGCTCTGCAGTGCTATCGGAGACAGTACCTTTGTAATATTAAATATAGAATAGGAGAGGAAGTGCAGTGTTTTAATCTTTCTCATTGACCTCTACCTTGTGTGATATTGCAGATAGTTGGGGGAGAGTCCCATATCTGTGCTGCATTTGGTGCCATTGGCTTTGTAATGGTAACTCTGCTGACTCAGAGACATTCAGGTCACACTCCACACAGAGCTTTGAAAAATGCAGTGCTTCTTGTATACACAGACTGAAAAATGACTTTCTGTGCTTTCAAAGTTTGTACCTCTACACACTTCATTTTGGTACCAATAAACATCAAAGTGACTATTTTCAAGTTTTTTTTTCACTCTGTTCAATTTCACATATTTCTCTGTGAAATATGTGTGAAATTTCTGTGGGAAATACACTCTCCATACTTCACTTACCTCACCATTGAAGAAGCAGAATATAGTCGCCACAAGTAAGCCCTAAAAGAAAAGAATTTAGAGATCAGAACATACATATATATACTTCTGCTTTGTTAGGAAGTTTGGACTTGAGGGATGAAAGAAAAAACCTTTAGTTTACTTCCTCTGCATTGTGGACATTTCACCTAACCTGCTCCTAGCTCTTAGTTATGTTATTACATTGATTTTTGTCTTTTCTTATCAACACATTTCACCATTTTCTTCCATATTACTGACATTTCTAGATGATCTATTCCAGCTATAAAGTTATTTTTGTATGAGAGGTCTGGAGAAGGAAGACTAAGTAATATGTAAGATAGACGTCTTGCTTACAATGGAGTAATCCCCTGATTCTGGCTTTGCTGAAGAGAAGGCAGAGGAGTTGTCCTACATGCTGACACTCATTTGTGAGAGTGCAGTTACCCAGTTAAAAGACAAGGGAAACCCCACTGTGCTGCGAAGGCTTTAAATTGAAGCGTATGTTAGGATAAGTGGACTTCTATACTTGCAGCATCGGTATGGATGGTGAGGATGTGAAAAGAGGTATTAGTGGTCAGAAAAGGGAAAAAACAAAACAAAACAAAACCAAAATCAAACAAACAAAACCAAAAACAAACAAAAAAGAAAAACAAACCAAAGCCAAAATAGCAATAATAAGAAAAAAACAACCAACCAACACAAAACCAGGTGAATTAGAAGGTAAGGGGGAGGGGAAAAAAAGGAAAAGGGAGATTGCAGATCCTAGCTTGGACCTAAACTGCTTTAAATTAATTTAATTATTGCCATGGTCATTCAGGTATTTCATTACCTCTATAAGATTAAACAAGGCTAAGCCAAGAACATGAGATGAAGAAGTATAAAATAGGTAAGAGAGAAAATTATTGTGCATAGGGCCTGCCATTCAAAATCACACAATTACACTTAGTTTTCTAAGCAGCACTAGCTTTTATTAAAATAGCAATACATAGCAACACTGGGAGCCAAATGTCTTTGTATTAGATTACTTAAAGCAGTTATTATAAACTAAACTTACAGCAGTTTGTGAAATTGAGGGAAAAAACTATCCAGTACAATAGCTTGTTTTCCCAGAGGTTGCTTTTAAGAGCTTTACAGCTGTACCTTTTTTTATAAATCCTCTTTTAACTGATTATCAGTTAAATTGTAGCTAACATTTTGTAAAATGTCTTGGACTCTCAAGTGAATATTATGGATCGTGAACTTAGGGCAAAATAAATGTTGTAACAAAATGCTTATATATCTGGAACACACAGAGGCTGGTTCAAAGAGGTGCTGATCACCTGAATTTCTGCAAAAATTTCTGCGCTTACTCTAATAAATTTTCTTCAGTATGTAATGTCTAATTTGGCATGACTTCAAATGTAAAGACAGAGGAAGAGGAAGGATAGTTGGAGTGATGAAAAGAAAGAGTCTCTTCATGTTTTGGAAAAATTGTATATTCAGAAAACTCAAATCCCAGAACACAGTTTTTCCCTAACCTCTGGTTTGAGAAACACCACAAAGTCAGCCAAACCTTATGCCTCTGCAGCAGAACTTTGGCAGACCACAGATAGCAAAATCTGAAATTTATGCAAGGGGAGCAAACCTTGGACTTTCCTGTAGTGATTATGCTCCTGCACTGTGTGTGCTACATTAATTTGCACTGTATTGCAAAATATCTGCTGTTCAACTGCATGGTATATGGTCACATCAGGGGTTTCACCATTCTGCTAGAATGCGTCTATATGAACAGCAGCCAGCCACAATGGGAAATGAGATGGATTTTGATGTACTCTGGGATTAGAGAAGCTTGATGGATATCTCATATCCACACAGGGCACAGCAGACATGAAAGACATCAGAATGAGAGAAAGAAGCAAAGTAACTTTTCTACTTTTGTTCTTCAACCAAATTGTTGCCCTTTTATTCAAAGAATTCTCTGTCAAAACCCAAAACCCAAATAAATATTGTGAGGAACAGAAATGGACTGATCACTATGCAGGGCTGGTAAGATAACCTTTCTTGAAGTTGGATAAGGTTTCATGGCAGATGGGAGTCTAATGATTCTGAAGGAGAATAATGGATAACCTATATGGCATCTGCCCATTTACAGATAGAAAACTATGGGATCTGTCAGCCTTTTGTGCAAACACAGAAGCAATGTTCACACAACTGGTGAAAATTATTAACATGAGACCAAAAGAAAACATGCAGCAAAGATCTGGAAGATTAAAAGTGCAAGTAAACTGCTTGTTGCTTTTAATTAGAGTAAATACTAAAATGGTCCTGTGCCTTTCCAGAATTTTAAGCAGTATCTCAAGACAGTAGGATGCTTAGCCTCACTAAGAGTTGCCACCTTGCTGTGTTTTATGAAATACATATATCACAGCTACAACGTGAAGCTCTGGCACTAATAGATTCTTCAAGCCTACTCATTTCTATCGTGCCTTTATTCTAACATCCAACAACACTAGAGTCCAAAAATGCTGTTACATGAACAATTATTTCTATTTATTTGCATTTGTATTTGTATTTCTATTTGTATTTCTATTTCTTCTGATTTCTATATATTTTTCTCATAGTTCAGAGTACTGTGCTTTGATTACACTTAATGTAATAGAAAAAAATCTTTTATTTGCCAATAACAAGGCCATTATACTGAATAGCATTGTCATTTCTCATTAGAGACAGAATTGCCTGTTTATGGCCATAGTCAGCAAGGTGTTGAGAACATAAGTAACCTGATCTCATCCCTGGAAGTGTTCAAGGCCAGGCTGGATGGGGCTTTGAACAGCCTTTTCTGGTGGAAGATGTCCCTGCCCATGGCAGTGGGTTGGAACTGGGTGGTCTTTAAGGTCCCTCCCAAAACATTCTGTGTTTCTATGGTTAAGCACTTGCACGTTGCTGCTATTTGTGGGCTTTTTCTCTATCACATCAAGAAGAACTCCATTTCTAGGTCTTCTTTGGCCTAGTGACAGTGCCATGTTAGTCTCTACAAACCCAACTACAAGGCTCTGGAGAGAGGGTTCAGTAAGAGGGGACAGTTGGTGGAATGAGCCTGCAGCCATGAGTGTGTCAAATCATGGGCTCGTTGGAGAGCATTTGGCAAGAGGGGGCCATGCATGGGACTAACTGATATATCATCTTCCTACTGCTCCTTCTTTCTTGTGAGGCCTCTGTTATGGACCAACATTGGGAAAGAGAGATAACGGGATGTGCTCACTGATAGCAGGCCTACTTGCAGGAGCTGAGCATCCCTGCCTCTGTGTACCTGGGACTCTCAAACCTGGTGGGCCTGCCTGGTGGTTCTTGGGGCTGGGGGAGAAACTTGTGTGCAGTTACACACAGGGAACAGGGCTGCTGCTTCATCCCTCCACAGCAGGCACCTTGCTTGCCCAGGTGCACTATTTCATCTTTGCGGGGCAGCATGATGGGATTTTTCTGGCTTTTGAGCAATTAATGTGTTTTCACATCAGAGGTGTGCAAGAAGCCAGAGCACCTCATACCGTAATGTTTTATACTCCAAGGAAGATTGCGTCTTTCATATGCCTTCTGCATCATCTAACAGGCTTTTGAAAACCAGGTCCTCTAGGGAAAGTCTGCAACTCACTGTTCTGGAGTGCAAATGTTTGCTTGGTGGTGCCTACTTTAGGGGCCCTGTTTAATTAGCTGCTGTGTGCACCTACAGCTTGCCTGTCAGTGCATAATTTATTCCACTTAATGGCTGAAATATCTTTCTTTTGCCTGGTATGATCTTCATTTCACCACAGTCTGGAGGCTGAAGAGCCTATACTGGTGATGGTGAGGAGAGTTAATAATTGCTACTTTTATAGCATCCACAAGGGGCTGGCTGGATGTGCTGCAAAAGTACACACATTTATATTTGCAGCACAACAGCCAGGTTTTGATTTTTATCACTTGTTATGCATCTACTCTACAGATCTGCTAAGAGGATTCTGGTCTGTGTAGTGAAAGATACACACTGAGCAAGGTAGGGTAGATATATAGCATCTGTGAATTGCTCATAGAGCCATATTTGAAAAAAATACTTTGGCTGAAAATGGCATTAATGATAATCCTGCAAAAAGTGAAGGACAATTCAAAACCAGACAGGCTCCAGTTATTCAAAAATTACTTTAGCAGAGGAAACCCAGCATGTAACACCTATTGTTATTGTATTGTTTTTCAGCTGGGAAACATGTTTGCTGAAAGAAACCCTATTACATAGTTTCTTGTGTGAATAAATTCTCTCTTATTCATCATCTTCAATCATCTGAATTGTAAAACAGACTGCAGTGCTAGCTTGCACCATTTCTGTGTTCATGAAGATGTATTTTAGAGGCCAAACTACTGTGGTCACTTACGGCAGTGATGCACTGTTGAAAATCTGTCTCTCTGTTCTAGAAAAAGATAAAATATCATCCTTTAGCCAGTGTAAAGATGGAGAGTGTATTATATTTTCCAAAAAACAAACAAACAAACAAAAAAAAACCATGATGCCTGCTTGTGTATGACTGACATACCACTGGATGCAGACAATAATGGCTACCGCTAGTTTATGGAGAGACAAGCAGTAGTTTATGAGAGTGCAATAGCTAACAGGGAAATATAGCCACTACACAAGCTAATACAACACCTGCTAATTACATAATCAGTCCTATAAGAAAATGAGCACCGGAGGAGAGACTATATAGCTGGCTGTCTTAAATATGCATCCAAGAAATGCCTGGGAAAGGATTAAGGAGGTTTATTTCAGAACACAATTAAAAATCCACTCTAGGTAGAAAAGGGAGCACCACTGTTAGCTGCAGTTGTCAGCCCAACCTCACACCTCTCCTGAAATGCCAAATTTTACCTGCTTCTGGATGCACACTGGTATTACCCTATGGAGTTTCAAGAGCTCTTCTGCAGGGTCAGGCACTATGTCTACACCAGCATGCCCCAGCCAAGGCTCTGCATCGTTGCCTTGGCTGTTCATGATATTTTGCTTTTGTTGCTGGGTGCCTTTTAACCAAAGTTTGGTGACTTTGTATTGCAAAATGATCATCATTAGGACAATTAACATTTATTTTGTAGTTTTCTGACAATCTTGCAGGAGTTGGAAGATATTTTAAGAGTGAATTTATTATTGTTACACTCTCTCTTATCTTAATGTGCTAAAAGCGTTAGCAACTTGTCACCAGAAAACTTTTTTGGAGATATTCTGTTGTAGCTGTTGAGATCCCTGAAATGACAATGCATAGTACAGGTAACAAAACAAGAAAGAGATTCTCATTGCTGTTAATCAGAACTGTAAAATAAGATGGCATATGGTGCAAAAACAGACAGACCTATCACTTCAACGATTCTATGCATGCAGCATCACGCACACCCACAGTTTTGGAGGGATAAAGGTGATATGCAGAAAATAGACTCAGATGACAGGATGCATAGATTTTGGTAGCATCTTTTATCACCTCTTTTAAGGAAAAAACACCACGGAATTTTTAGAGTTGTTTACTTACTACAACAGTAAAATAACTTCTGCATTTAGCTTCTGCATGAAAGGAAACAAGAAACGGGTAAGTGTGATCACCCATGTTGTCCACTACTCACAAATGCATTACAAATCTGTCTTTGCCGGTCAATATAGGACTGCATGTTACAGAGGGTAAACCAGATGACCAAGCGTTTGAAGTCCTTTAGTTTTTTTTTTTTTTTTTTTTTTTTTTTTTGTGGTTTTGTTGTTGTATTTTGTTTAATAAAAACAAGAACAAGCCAGCCCTATTGAATGATGATGTATTTTCAAAGCATTTATGAATTCAAAATGTCAGTGTTACATTTTAATTTAAACTATTTAATAATGTAATTTTAACTCCTGAATGAAGCTTCATTGTCTCCACCTTTTATTCTGTGTATTGGCATTCCTTCTGCACGATGATTTGCATACACAGCTTATTTTAATATTAACCTCACAACACCAGTTTCAATCAGTTTCAGCACTTCAGCAGAAACAGTTCTTTGAACATAAAAGCCCTCTGTGATCTCAGTTCTCTCTACTTTGTTCAGAAATAGTGCCATTTGATCCTTTTTGTTTCATTGTTCATTGTTTCCTCTTTCTCCTGATTCTTCCCTATACTTGTGCTGAGGCAGATAATCCAGCAATGTGAAAGTGGTTGGAAAAGAAATGCAAAACCACAGTCACTCTCAGTTTCACTGCAAAACAACTGGCATCAGCAGCTTTGGCTAAATTAGCTTAACAGCAAGCACCTCACCAACAGCTGAAGTTGCTATTATATAACGTACCTGGTAATGCATTAATATATGCATGATGTAATCATATATTTCTCCAGCAAGCCGGTTTTCTGGTCTCCAGGGAATAATAACAAATTGAATTCCTAGTAAGGGCACCAGGATTAGTGTGGCTCTGACAGCTTTCATATACATGTTGGACTCAGCACGGTGGGTATCTCTTAGCTTTGTCACCAAAACTCGGACAATGTTAAGCAAAAAGAAAAAATTGACCTGTAAAGCAAAGCCATTATAGGTGAAAGCATTCAATTAAACAGGCATTCAACCTGAAAATACAGGACACATAAATGGCTTTAAAATTCAACTTTCTAGCTTCATCATTGCTCATAATAGGTACCCTCTTAGGAGTCAGGCCTTGCAAAGTACCTGAATATCTTCAGAAAATAGATGTTAAGCTGCTCTATGTGCTTTCCTGGGGACCTGCCTGAATGGATGCTTAGGGCAGGCAGGTTGTTTTAATGTTGATGTGGTCAAATTCAGGATTTCTAAGAAACAAAACATCTCGTATATACGTCTCAAGGTTTAGTAGGGTGGATGAATTGCCCCCAGAGTAACCAATTCTCTCTTCTTACTGGGGAGGTCCTCAAGGTATCTTGCTTTGGCCTGCTCTGAAGATGTCTACAGGCAGGTGAGACAAAAATCTCCAGGGCATCCCTGGAGATATGGAGCCTGCAAGCTCAGGTATATTCTCTGAGGAACATGCTCTGGCTTACCACGGAATTGTAGGGATCCCACAGTACAATACCCACAGGTAAAACTTAAAATGAGCTGGATCACAGAAGAAATACCAAATAACTGAGAGAGTTTTGCCTGTGACCATTTTGGTCAGCTGTTCTGAGTAGCTCAATATTTGATTTCCTGAGTTACTCCAGCTGTGGGTGCTAAGCACACGTACATATGCTCTTGGCCCTAGCTTCACAGCTCCTTGTGGGATGTGCTGGGAGCCTGTGAAGTAAGAGAGATGGAGACGTGGGCCAGTAATGAGCCACAGTAAATACCACAGATATCGCAGACTTTTTCTCCAGTATAACCAGTTCACTTTGTCCCACTCTGTTACAATATTATCAGGCACCTGTCCTTCTGAATATTAATAGAGTTTTCTCCAAATGATTTTTTTTTTTAAATAAGTATCTTCTTACTGCATAACTAACAGTTATTTTAATAGCCCCAAATCCATAAATAAATGAGAAATCTCACTTGGATCTTTCAGAACAATAAACCATGAATCAGTAAGTCTCAGTAAAGCATTTCATAACTTCTTAGCTACTGAGAGACCTTTCAACTATTTTACATTTGTGCTCTGCTGGAAAAAGGGAATAATGAATGACTTCTGAGGTCCCATTCAGCATTAAATCTAAACCTTATTCTCCATCTTCCTCTGACTTCACTCACTCTGCTTAACCCTCAGTTTTACAATTTCTTGAAGTAACTGTGAAAGGTGGAAAAAAGACTCGGCAAAGGTGAAATTCCTCAGCTCTTCTGAGTCAGGCTGTCACTATGAGATCCTTGTGCCCAATCAAGCAGGACATTCTGTGAACACTGACATCTTTTACAGAAAAATAAAACTGGAAATGGCAGAATAACAAGCCAGCAATTATAATGCCTTATTATTAAAACAGTTAAAGATTATTCTTTTTCCATAAAAGCAGCCCCTCCTCTCTTCTTTGTAGCTAAGATGTACATATTTGCAACTTGGTGACCACAGAATCATTGAATCATTAGGGTTGGAAAAGACCTCCAAGATCATCTGGGTGACACATTGAGATGAGTTTGGGACTTCGGTTGAAAAAACCCTTTCTGCACCTTTCAGAAATGTCATTGTTACAATGCCAACCATCACCACTGGCACAGAACGTGCTATATGTGTACATGTTGCTGAGTTGCACCTTGAATCTCATCCTGTGTTGCTTCTGCTCAGACAGCCCACTTCAGTCCCTTTCCTGGCCCTACCACTGGACCATACCTGTGCAGAAACCAGTAAAACTAGCACTGAATGACCAGCTTGCGCTCTACTCAGCCCAGCAAAGGCATTGATGTCTCATTGATGTCACCTAAATGCAGTACATTTGTCACAAAAGAATTACAATGCATTCGAGTGACCACCCGGAATTTCTAAAGCAAGCAATGGTTCAGTTTGCTTTAAAATCTGATTATTTTGGGGAGGTCTTTTTACAGGTCTGATTTATGAGAATTATTAAGAACCTGTCCTGAATAGAGAAAATCACTAACTACTTTGACATTTTGACCAGAATACTTAAAGCTCAGAAATTTATACTCTCTGTAGAATTAGCAGAATTAGCATATATTCTCTGCAGCATTAGCATCATTTCTAAAATAATTATTAAACTGTTGACAGCAAATAATATTCTTACCAGTAAAGCTGCCATTACAGGTCCATGAACAATATAAAGCAAGTAAGTGTCAACACTCATCCAGCAGCTGGAAGGGAAATACACCATTAGAGCATTATTTACTCAAATAAAGTGGGTTACAGAACGAAATAATGGTAAATTCCTTCAAAATCAGACATGCGACTCACTTGTCATTGAAGTATTTGGCTCTTGCAACTGCATGAATAGATGCTGGCACTAAAGGGAACCCTGAAACAATTAAAGGTATAGGTCAGACTTGGTGCTTTTGGTTTCAATTTCATATGTCACTTCCACTAACAGCATCTCTTGTCCATAAAACATATATGTGAAATCCCAGTTTTCACAACTGTAATCCTATTACACTCAGAACCCTAGCATGGCGTGATGCTTCAGGCAGGCCAACAGAAGAAGCCAAGTCCACAGGCCATGCTCTCCTGGGGCTTCACAAAGCTCCTGCCAGGCTCCCCTGTGCTATGGTGGCTCGTGCAAGAGGGAGTGTGAGCAAGCAGTGTGAGATGGAGGCAGAGACAATTTGGTTCTCAGTGTAGCATTCCCTTGGGAAATCAGGGATTCTTGTTATAATCATGTAAATCGGGATTGAGAAAGAGAGAGGCGCATTAACTCACATGCCAGATTATGGAGCAATAAACAACACATGAGGAGCTGCTTTTTGGAGGCCCATGGCCAGAGAAAATGTGTGGAGCCAGGACATTCATAGGAGTGGGGATTTGGGATAGCTTCTGCAGATTCCCATCCCCTGTGCCATCAAGCACATCCCATGCAGGTTTATCTCAGCAAGGAGGGGAGCTGGGGATAACTCCACAACTCCTGCTTTATCTGTGAAGCCCAGCTGATGCCTCAGGGGAAGTCACTGTGTTGACAGGGAGCTGAAGAGGGCAAATTTGCATGAGGCCAAAGGCTTGGGAACATGCCGTGCTGTACTGAACATCTCAAGTAATAGAATCCCAGAATTATAGAACCATAGAATCACAGAAGGGACCCACAAGGGTCATAGACTCCAACTCCTGGCTACACACAGGACCACCCAAAAAACAAACCATACATCTGAGAGCATTGTCCCAATGCTTCTTGAACTCCAACAGGCTCAGTGCCATTACCACTGCCCTGGGCAGCCTGTCCCAGTGCCCAACCACCCTCTCAGTGAAGAACCTTTTCCTAACACCCAGCCTGACCCTCTCCTGTCACAGCTTCATGCCATAAAATGCCTGTTTCCACCCCGACATTATAAGAGTGGCAATGTGGTCCACTCTTCTTGATCTTCCTTCAGCTTGCTTGTATGCAGTCTCCCTTTCCAATAGGCTAGAAACCTGTAATAGGGGAACCCATGCTAAAATACTGACCCCACCTTGTATAATCCTACATACGCAGACAGCTGGAGTCATCATCTACTGCATTGTCTGTCCTTTGCAAAGGGCTTTGTGGACATCTTTGGTATTACTGCTGCCTGCTCCCTATAAATCATGCATGTTTGTTCTGACGAGTGGATATTCTGTAGTTATAAGAAACACATGTGAAAATGTCCTGCTGATACAGTGATTAGTCACAGAGGGAGGAACATGGCTCCTTGTTTCTTCAGGTGTTAGTGATTTCATAAACACTTTTAGATGAGGCAGAGAATCCTTAGCCAAATTCTCCAGTATTCTTACTGCAGAGCACAGGCCAGACAATGCTGGAGAGAGACTGAGGTCAAAAAAATATATAAATAGGACATTCTGTGGTATCCAGGTATCTCTAAGCAACAACTTGTTGCTCTACTGCCAAAATAAGTTCTTACTGCAGTTGTACTTGAGAGGACAATGCAGCTGTGGGAGAACAAAGCGGATTGCCTTCTCTTTTGTATATTGTTAGAAAATGATTACTGAGCTGCTGGCTGCAGAATGACTTTTTAGAGTGATGATGCATCGTAGAAAAGCATAAAGCTCAGAACAAAAAGAAAGGATTTTCCAACCTCAGGGTGACCTTATGGGATTGACTGCTTAAGAAAATCCTTTTGCTTTGGAAATGAATCAAGTCTGAGCCAGTTTTGTTGATGGACAACATAGACTGAAATGCATTTTTAAGGGACCAGTCTGTAATGTAATAGCAAATAGTCTTCATCTGAAAGCTCTGGCCTGGAGTATTGTGAGTAGAGTGCATGACATGATGCCACGGGACCTTCTTCTTCTGTTAAATGCATTAGCCTAGAATATTTGGCTCAACAAATTCGCATGCAAATCTGAGGAACGCGACGGAAAGTTTTCATTTATCAGTTGCAGGGTAAGAAACTCTTGACCATCTATGGCTCAAATGAGCAGTAAGCAATGTGCAGTAAGAAGGGGAGCGCCAAGAAGGCCTGTTGGGTCTTGGTGGCCCAACGTGTACCATATCACTCCAGGGGTCCCAGCTATAACATGAACAGTGAGCAATGTAGAAAAGGTTCCACCCCAGCCACCACAAGAAAAGGTATGATATACCCCTTGAGGTCATGCAAAGTTCTCTATATAGAATAAATAAATAAATAAATAAATAAAATCTGGCAATTATGCTTAATTGTATTTATGGTTGAACTGACAATCTGCATCAGCTCTGTCCGAATAAATTATTCTCTTTTCACTTTTATGTGGATGAAGCTGCCTGAAGCACCCAGAGTAGACTGTAGCTGGATGCACCCATCTTGCTCTGCATAAGGGTGACTTCCTGACCTGCTGAAACAATAACAAACGAAAAGGACATTCCCAGCAACAGCAGTTGCCAGAGAGGACATCACCTGAAGACATAATTCTTGAAATACATCTGTCCATGTCAGATTCCATTCAATCATCTAATCATCTGCAACCTTTTATGGAAGTGTTTTATATTTTCTCTTTTTTTTTTAATTTTTTTTTATAAAGCCATTTTACAAATGTCATTAGTGATTTTTCCAAATAAAATAATACAGATCTTCTTGCATAGGGATTAGTTATAACAATGAATAATCAGTATATTCATCTCATGTTGTACATTTACCTTGATCTTTTGAATTATAATTCAGAGCACAACCTGCTCTGGTTACTCTGCATTGCCCTTTGGAGAAATGTATTTCTCTCCATTGATTAACTAGCTAGATGCTTAAAGTTAGACCTAATGTGAGTACTGTTTCTGGAAAGAGTGGAATTACACTGATTTATGCAAATTTAAGGGGTGGCCAGATAGCCCTAATTAGATCTTATTGCTAATAATGACTTCTACTTTAGTTACAAGGTGTACTTTTGTGTGGCAGTATCCATTTAGTTTCATTAATAAGGCTACAGGCTTCATAGTCAGAGTTGTGTCCTTTTTTATTAACCTTTTCTCTCTCAAGATATGCTATTCCCACAGCCACCACCCTGTTTACTTTTAGGGCAGCGCTGCAGATACTGACAAGCATCTTATCAGTTATCAGTTATCAGTTAATCTGAGTTACCCACCATGATGCTCTCAACAATATTTCAGCTAGCTCATAAACTTTAACGGCAGGCCATCTGGCCCAGTTGCATTAAATTGCACTGTCTAAAGTGAATGTCACTTAAAAAAATACGTTTATGTCCATTTTTCTCCTGCATAATTCGATATAGAATGATTCCAGAAGGCTTACGCTGCAAGAGATGAAAATAGAAAAAGTTTAATCTGGAAGGAAGTGTTTAAAATTACTCTTCAGGTAGGGCTTCCATTTCAGAAGTAGAGCACTACCAGACTTTGTATATTCAGATTTTCTGAACTATGAAAACTTTCCGATAGCACAGTTGCTTGCTCCATAAGGGCTCAGTTATTTGGATTGACAGAAAAAGTCTAGAAACTTTAACTCAATTTATGGTTCTTGAGGAAGGTTTTAACAGCTGGTGATGTTCCATAGAATTTTTCATTCCAAGAGCATGACAGCTCCCTCTCTTCTCAGAAAAGATGCCATTCTCAAAAAAATACAATAAATTCTTACATGCTTGGATACTGTTCTCTGGCACCATACTCCATATAAACTAGAAAACTGTGCTTAATTTTCTAGGTATTTAATGCAGGTATCCAGGGAGTACTAAGTCTTGTGCTAGAAGAGGAAAATAAGTTACCAGGCTTTTAAATGAAAAATTCAAATAAGCGGGGAACAACTTTCTATTTTGCTGTTACCACCTATATAAGACCTGGTATTGGACGCCCAACTAGCAGCTGATGTCAGGGTTTTAAAGTTCTTCAGAACATTCAGCACCAGGTCATTTTCCTCTGTCTAAGCAGAAGGACTGTTTTTTATTTTCCTGCTGGAAATGAAATAATGTTGAACAGGCAAAACATTTACAAAGAGGATGGAAAATATAGAGTAAATTCTACATGCTTCAGTCTGGAATTGCAAGAGATAAATGCCAGTGAACGTCCCTAAATTCTGTGGGACAATGAACAAAGATCCATCACTGCTGCTTGGCTGTACCAGTGGGTTTTGAGATATGGGGCCTGGCTCACCAGAAATTGGAACGAGGCCAGAAATTCAGTTCCCAAACTGGGAAAAACCTATTAGTAATGATTTTCTGTCAACACTGATGTGTCTGGATTTACAATAGTGATTTAAATGCAAAAGAGATTGCACTGCACTCTAATATACTGGTTGTATTTATGTGGCCTTTTACTGGGCCAGGCAGACCAAAGGGTAGATACCTGTTATTGCTTCTAACAGGTAGCAAGGCAAAACATGGTTTGCTTTTGTTGAAAGACAAAACATGATTTCTTGGGCAGAATGCATGCAACTACATATAGTTTGAATAGTGTGTGGATTTTTAACCTCTCATAGAATGTCATTGACACTTGCTTAAATTATGACTGCATGGTTCTCTGAAATGCTTTAGACATCACTGTTTTTAGACGAAATAAAAGTAGAGACATTATCTACTCCTGTGTGGGTAAATTTCATCTGTCAAAGCATATCCGATATTGGATTCAGTTCCAGAGAAGTTCTGGTTCCTCCTTTACATACCTTGTGTATTACTTCGTGAGACACAGATACTGATTTTCCTTTTTTCATTCCAGTACACTTTTATAGGTAAAGTTGCAGTTTAATATTTTTGCATGTAAAGCAATAAAACTAGACAAGTTTTGTTCAGAGAAAAGATGTGCTTGAATAAAAATCTATTTCTTTCCCAAAGTTTTGCTTAACAAAACTTAAGCATTTCCTTCAGCGAATTCCAAGAGGCAGAAAATAACAGATACTAACTCCTGATGATTTTCATGAGTGTCTGGCCCTATCTAAATAAATACACTCAAATTTAGGACTGAAAAATTCAACCCTAGGCGATGATCTACTAGTGTAAATAAAACAATTCAGGTGTGTAAGTGCTGGAAGAATTCAAACATCTGAAAGAATTCACTAGTTTGCTATGCATCATGCCATACATACCCCAGCCCAAGAGGTAATACCAGTGCAAACGCTGCTCCTCAGCAAACACTGCCACCACAATTAACGTGTGAAGGTAAATCCCTTCGCAGAGCATCCAGAAGTAGTTACAGCCTAGCATGTACTGGTGGAAGAATTGCAGCACTTTGCAGCTTACCTGTGAGACGAATGAGAAAATGTGAACACTTGACCAGCATTTTGCATCTAAGCAGGCAACGTTAATTCTAACATTTGAAACTTAAGAATGCTAACATAAGAAAACAAAGAGAAACAAAAATGCCCAGTTCTTGGGTTTCTTCAGCATCTCAGTGACAAGGATTTTAAACTTTTGAAAATGAGATGAATGGAACAAACAACCTTCACAGAATTGTAAAAAATGTATCAGCACTCCAAAAACTACTATGAAAAAACAAACAAACAACAACAACAAAAACAACAACAACAAAAAACACTTTCAAAAGCTGTCTGTCTGGCGATTTCAAGAAGTGAAACAGGCAACTTGATCTAGAAGGACAAGAAAAAACAGTAACTTGGAGCTCCAGTTTGGATTACTTATTTTGCTTTTAATCAAACTTTTCTAAGGCTTGCTCAGCTCTCCCAATTGCTCACTCTTTAAGTGACACCCAGCTTTGAACTCACTCTTTTGGGAAGGATAAGTGCCGTGAGCAACAGAGGTATTTTTGGTAGGGTATGCAGGTTACTGGCCTGGCCTCTTTGTGATAATATAGGTTTACTTTATTTTGTCCAAATAATGAAAATATACATACATGTAGAGCTAAATGGAGCCAGTGAAGCTGGCAAGTGATTCCCACTTGCAGTTCAGATAAGCTTGCAGACATACAGTGAGAGATTGTGGCTTTGAGTTGCTGGTGGAGAGAAACATTCTGTGTCCATTTGCCAGCTGGTGTGGGACAACACCATTCCTGTTCTGAAAGGATCTGATGTCCATCTACTTCCACTGTGTCCCCAGCAACCAGGTGGCCCAGGAGGAGCAGGAGGGTGATGCTGTGCCCGCAGAGAGCTCCTCAGGGACCAGCAGCAGCTACGCAGAAATCTGAGGTCATTGCAGTGATGGCAAAGTGTCAGTTGTTATCTGTGGCCACAGGAAAATATTCCTTCCCCTTCGCTTCAGCAGATTTTCCCAAGCTAATTACCTGGACTGTAAGAAAAGTTTTTAGGACTGACTTGCCTCTCTGAAGTTGACATTTCATCCATTCAGCAAGGAGAGGACTGTGCACTCTGTGTCTGTCTGAGGAACTCAGGGTGCTCCTCTGGACCAGAAAAGTGTGTTTGAGAGCCATACGATGCACCATCTTCTATTGCTGAAAAACATTCCCAAGCCAACTGCCAGAACGTGGGCCTTTAGTCCTGTAGTTCTGTTTCAATTTTACAGTTCAGTTTGGTGCTCATGAAAATACAGAAATATTGATAGGATAGGTTAAAGGATTCTGACAGGAATAACTTGAAGGACAGTTTGTATTGTTTTGTTTTTGCCATTTCATTTTTTTCTGCTCATCACACAGGGCAAAGCAGCCATATTTTTTTTTTCTCCACGCTGTGTCAGAACAGTTTCTACAGCATATTCTGAAAAAAGGTTGTACAGTGGTCTAAGAAGGTTAAAAAAAAATGATGAAGAAGGATTTGCTCTTTTCTGATGGCAGATGTGTTCATTAAGGTTCTTTAATCATGTTTGGACTGTTTTTCACACAGCTGGGTCAATGTTTCTTACCTGGCTCCCTTGCATAGGCATGATGCAACCCCTCAGCTGGCCTCTGGCCTCCCTCCATTTCCCACATCAATCACCAGTTTTTGCAAGGACTGCCCTGCCTGGCAGAAGCTTCCCAAAGCCTGGCCATGCTCAGGTGGCCCTCTCCCTGACAAAAGTCAGCTCTTTCAGTCTGCAAAAAATCAGTGAACTTTATGAGCAATGACAGCTGTTCCCCAGACAGTTCTGATAAGATTGGCTATGCCTCGGGATGGACGTCCACGTGGTTCCCTGTGGTTGCCTGTGGGCTTCTCCTTGGAGGAGCTGCTCTGAGCACTTCTTTCTTTCCTGTGCCCTCCACATGAACTATCACTTGTGGCTTTAAAAATAAAATGAAGTACCTATTTTTTAGAGTAATGGCTATGCAGACAGCTCATGACTCTTTTAGTAATGTAATCACTTGCTATGCAGTAAGTTACAGACTACCGTTGGCAAGACATGAAGGATGTGCATGATTAGTACTTGGATCCACATCACATTAATTTTAGAATGAATCTGAAAAAGTTAACACAAATAGTTTAAGCACAGCAATGCACTGACATGAATTATGTTAAATTTCTATTAATCAAACTACAGTGAAAATTAATCTTCACTTTGGATGAGCTAAGAAACGCAGCAGGCCTCAGCTGTGGCTAAGTTCAGCAGTAGAAATATTTTCCTACAATGAAAAGAGAGTGTTTTTCTTAGATCAGAGCATGTAAATGAAAAGAACCTGTTACTGATGAGAACTGGATTCATACATGGTGTGAACAAAACATGACAGATGTAATTGCACATCTCAGCATACATCAGCCTTAGCCAGGAAAATTGCAGAACTAGTAGGTTTTATGAAATGTTTATTCTTACAGAAACGAGTAAAATGAAACTGGAAGATGACACAGGAGCAAATCTTCCATCACCTCCATGCTCAATAACTTTGATTTATTTTTTATTTTTTTTAAAGATCTAGGTATTTTGTCTTCTGTTGAAATCAAACATGTTTTGTTGGTAAGCTCTTTGAGGCAGAGGGTCTGCACTTATGTCTCATACAATGTGCAGCATGTTCAGATCCAGGACTCAAAGAATTATCACAACACCAATACTACTAGTTCTACTGCTACTGCTACTACGAGCACTCATGATGGAGAGAGTAAGATGTCATCATCTCTTGGTGTGTGGGTGTGCAAATGACTTAAGCTACTGGTGTTTAATTCACAAGCAGGGCAGGCTGAAAGGAAATAGCTGGTCCTTTCTCATGCAGCTCTGTAAATTTGCTGCTTTGGCTGGTGTGCCTGTACCCTCAGCAAAGGAACAGAGAAATGCTTCTCCCGTAAAGAGCGTGGAGACAGACAGCATTATGCTGCACAAGATGGTGGTTGTGCAGCAAAGGAAAGTGGGATACAATTATCAGGAAATCCCCCAAACCAGGTAACCAGCTCAGAAAGCAGCTCCTATGTTTCTGGGAGGACAGGCAAAAATAAGACACTATTTTTGGCAGAATGCTGCCTGGCAAGAGACAGGTTATGTGAACAGGGAGGCGGCCTACTGCTATTTGTTCTCATGGCACTGATGAACACAAATGTTCAAGAAAGTTCTTCATAGATCTGCAGGACAGCACCCAAGATGTCCTTTATTGTTTATTTTCTGTCCCCATGAAAACAATCTGCAGTGGCCCTAAATAGGCTTGAATTGGCCATCTGGGCTGGCAGTCCCAAGCACAAATAGAGGCTGGGGGTGTTGGTTGAAGAGAAGCTCAACGTGAGCCAGCAACGTGCTCTTGCAGCCCAGAAAGCCAACCATATCCTGAGCTGCATCAAAAGCAGCGTGGCCAGCAGAGCAAGGGAGGTGATTCTCCCCCTCTACTCTTGTGAGACCCCACCTGGAGCACTGAGTTCAGCTCTGGGGCTCCCAGCACATGAAGGGCATGGAAGTCTTAGAAGTTAACATGGAAGTTAAGAGGAGGGCCACAAAACTGATAAGAGGGCTGGAGCACCTCTCCTGTGAAGACTGGCTGAGGGGGGTTGTTCAGACTGGAGAAGAGAAGGCTCCAGGGAGACCTTACAGCGGCCTTCCAGTACTTAAAGGGGGCCTACAGGAAAGCTGGAGAGGGACTTTGTCAGGGAGTGTGCTGACAGGACAAGGAATAACAGCTTTAAACTAAAAGAGGGTAGGTTTTAAATTAGATTTTAGGAAGAAATTCTTTACTCAGAGGGTGGTGAGACACTGGCACAGGTTGCCCAGGGAAGCTGTGGATGCCTCATCACTGGCAGTGCTCAAGACCAGGCTGGATGAGGCTTTGGGCAACCTGGTCTGGTGGGAGGTGTCTCTGCCCATGGCAGGGGGTTGGAGCTAGGTGTTCTTTAAGGTCCCTTCCAACCCAAACCATTCTGTGATTCTGTGGTTGATGAATTCTGGCTAACTGCTCAGTGGGAAAGGGGGCCAATAAGAATATGGTCAGGCATATTTTCCTGTCTTGCAAATATTCCTAAGATTTCTATAACTCTTATGAACACCTCAGCTGCAGAATGAGCTAAGGAAAGAACTTCAAAAAGATGCTGAAACAATTTAATGGGGAAGAAAGAAAAAACAAAAACAAAAATATTCCTCTTTTACAATAAGGAGATAGAACTGATTTTTTTCAGGTTTTATTAGTGTATTATAAATTCTGTTAATATTGCAAACCTGTCAGGGGAATCCCAAAGTTCCGTCTGCCGATGCAGGACCCTGCAATGGCACTGCAGTGTAATTGGCATGACATGCTCCTTGGTTAAGTTAACAGCCCGTTATCACAATGCACATGTACGTACATGTCATTTCTCTGTTAGGGCTCTCCCTGGTTATTGGTTGACAGTTTATGGACAGAAAGCATCAGCATTAATCACCATCGTTACCCATTAGGGCAAATCAAACCAAAACACTCAGACCACATAAAGGACAGAATACTGCTTTCAACAATAATAACAAAATGTAACATAAAATTAACTGCTAATTGTTTTTGAGTAGGTCTGCCTAGTAATTCAGTCTGAATAAAAATGCTAAGATTTAACATAAGAAAGGAAACTTGTACAGAGTCCTGTGCGTCCATGCTCCTGCAATGGGTGAGGGGACTGAGGCTGGCATGCTGGGAGGTCTGTGTTTCACACCAGTCCTTGCCAACTCTGCAGAGCCTGGCCTATGAAAAATGAGGGCAAGATAGCCTGATAGTGTGCATAATGAAGCCTCTCTTCTCAGTTGGTCTCCATCTATTGAAATGCCCCAGGCTGACATTTGAAAGAAATAAATTGGTAAGAATAGGCCAAATAAGGTTATTAATTTTCAACCAAGCCAGCTACATGGGCCATCACTAGAGCTGTGCATTTCTTTGTTTAAAGGGAAATAAGCATATTCACCCTTTCTGAAAATCAGTTAGTGAG